GTGGCATAAAGGCTCTGTTACATCAAGATACCAAGGAGTTGATCCATTTTGGACTTTTACTTGAATATTTTACCTACGTTATTTCTAATTATATTTTTCAAATAAAGGATTTAAATTTTTTGAGTTAATAATTAATAATATTGTATTTTAATTTTTTTATGCCTTTTTTGTTTCGATTATTCACAACAAACCGATTTTTATTTTACATGGTATTTTGATGAAATGAAATTTTCTATTTTCATAATACTAAATATCTCCTTAATCTAATATACCCTAATCTCATAAAACCTAATATGACTATCGTCGACCACCTTTGACCTCCGTCGATGTGAATCATTGTCGACCACCACCATCTGAACCACCGTCGAATACCACCGATTTGAACCACCACCTATCTGGACCACCCTCCGACCATTACCGGTCTAAACCACCGTCGATCTAAACCACCACCAATATGATCCACCGTCAATCTGAACCACCATGGACCACCATCAATCTGAACCACAACCAACTATTACCGATCTGAATCATCGCCGGCCACCGACGATCTGAACCACCATCGACCATCACCGATTTAAACAACCACCGATCTGAACCACACCCGACCACTGCCACCTGAAGCACCACGGACCACCACTACCGACCACCGGCGACTACCACCACTATGAATCACGTCGGACACCGCCGACCACCAATGATTTGAACAACCACCGACGCCACTGCCGATCTGAACCACCGCTGACTACCTCCATCGGAACCACCGCGGACCACCATGGATCACCACCGATCTAAACTACCGTGGATCACCATTGATTTGAACCATGCCGCCCATCATTGATTTAGTAACGTCGTTTTGTTTATGGTTATATTTGAGTTGTGTATTTTATATTGTTTTACATATTAAATAATTATTTTATTAAAGTACTTTTAGTTTTAAAAAAATTAAAATTTTCAAAAAGTGCATTTTGGTTATTTACCAATATTTTCATTTCAATTCCAAAACTACATTATGTGAATTCCTTAACAAATTTCATTTCAATATATGTTAACCAAACAGGTGGTGAAACATGACAACATTACATTCTAATTCCTTCAATGTCAAATTCTTTTAACAGATTACATACCTTTCAAAAACATTTTACTAACCAAACACCATCTTAAGGAAGAGGGGAAGAATTCATGGGGAACATGGAGAGGAGAAGGGTTGGAACGTGGGAAGAGATTTGAATGGATGGACTTAGTATATGCATCAATGTATTGTACCATATGCTTAAGAAATTGGACCTCCTAAAAATTCTAAAGTAACCAAAAGAACCGTTTACTAAACGTTTATTTGGAAAATGCTTACCGGGTAATTTTTCTTATCAGATGAACATGGCAAGGGTTAAAAATCTTACCCGACAAGAATAATGATAAAGATGAAGAAACTTACCCGGTAAGTGAGGGTGACAACTTTTACCCGGGTTTTTTTGCTTACAGGGTAAATTGTTGCATACGATACAATTTTTACCCTTGTAAAATAAATTATAATGTTGACTCCTAACGGTAAGTGCTTACCCGGTAAGTATTTAGGTAAACGGCCCCTTAGTGCTTTTTAAAATACTAGAAGAGTGTTCGCGCAATGCAGCGAGACACATCTCGATTTTAATGTTCTATTTTATTATTTGTCTCTGTCGATGTTATAATACGATTTTTTGTGTTTTTAAGAAAACAATAATGATTTTATTTTTGAATAAAATATAAATTTGGAAAAAAAATATCAATGTAAATATTAAATCAACTATTTAAAAATTCTTATTTTTTATGTAATTTCTTCAAATTATGTTTTATTATTATAATTTAATTTAAATTTAATAATGAAATAATTTATTTTTAGTTTAATAAATATCTATACTATATTATAAAGCATTTGGCTAAAACTCTTAAAATTCTTAAAACTCTTAAAAACTCTTAAACCCGTTCATCCCTAACGATTTCATTCCTATCCGATTTTATCTCATATCTGAATTCGTATAACTAACTGCAGATAAACACAATCAAATACAAGATAAATATCTCATTTTAAATATAAAAAATCTAAAATATAATTAGTATAATCATTAAATTCTAACAGAATAC